CTGCCGCCGGGGCCGGGCCGGGCCGGGCCGGGCGCGAAGCCACCCCGCACGGGGCCGAGGTGCCGGAGGGGCGTGAAACATGTCAGTCAGCCAAAGGTTGCCCAAACATGATTATGCTTTATTTTTTGTTTGCTTGGCTGGGGTTAAAGCCATCCCGTCACACGTTTCTCTAGCACAGATTCACGCAGCCCAAGGTCCCGCTTAGGTCATCTTGCCTGACTTCCTGCCTAGTGAAGCCATTACGTTGGCACCCGGTTATTACCGTGTTGAGCAATATCATGTGTTCAGCTCGACTGTCTTCTAGAGACATGTCCCGTCCTGTTCTGAAGACATCAAGGAATGGAAAGCTCTGCATTTTTCTTGGCTTCCTGTTCTCAGTCTGAAAATGATACTATAGTCATTTCAGATCTGGGTGACTCTGAGTCTCCCTTTACGTGGATAACTTCCCGTACGGTATATGAAGTGCATCTTAGCAAGATGAGGACTAATCCTTGTAAAACCTCAGCAGAAATTCTCTTGTGTAGCAATGATTCCCCATTAGGAACTCCTTGGGGAACCTCCCTAAAAACTAACTCTCGATCCGTGTAAAACATGGTCTAGGGACATTGGATCATGGTATTGCATCGACTGGACAAAAGGCTAGTAAGTGCACCATAAGGCAAGTTTTGGGCTGGCTTTGGGAAACACCTTGGATTGGTGAATACGTTCTTTTCCGTCACTAGTACCTACACAAGGCAATCCAAAATACTAGTTCACGGAGGACAGTTCTGCTGATTGATTGCTTCTCATCCTTCCAACTATGCACCACTATTGACTAATAACACTTTTTTTTGGAGCTAGAGTCATACCTGGAACTGATCTGCAGAGGGTGGGAGTGATCACATGCTAAACAGCGAACAGCAAACTGCCATTTCCCCAGGCCCCTTGCCTGCCTGCGGCTGGGCGTTCCTCCAAAACCATGCTGACAGCCCCTAGTAGCTGTAATTTAGCACATATCTCTGAGAGAGGAGCAATCTCTGAAAATATGAACAGATGAGAAAGTCGGTTGGGAAATGGGACCACAGCAGCATCTACGGGCCCTGGGCGCCTTTCCCTCCTGGCAAGGGCTCGTCATGAGTGAGCCAAAACCTGGAGCAATCATTTAATTACCTGGTCAAAGCTAAGGGAACCTTGAAGTAGCGCTGCTCTGTCCAGGGAAGTGCAAGTGGCTCTTGTGGTGGGATGGGAGAGGGGAGAGAGGAGAGGATCCAAGAGACGTGCATGCTGTTGTCAGAATCTAAATGAAGAAAGGTCGTCTTTTTTCTTTTTCTTTTTTGGTTGTTTTGAGACAAGGAAAACCGGTGTCCTTTGCTAGTACAGGAAGGCTGCGGTCTTTTCCATCCGAGCTCCTTCCTGCCCCGGCTGGATGAAGGACTGGAGGCTGTGCCTGGGACGGCCTTACGGCATCCAGCTCACAGGAGTTCTCATCACCATGCTGGACCTTGCTGCATAAAATTCACAGTAATAATAGAGAAGGTGATCACTCCCCAGGCTTGCCAGATTATATAGGGTCTGACAGGGAGCGGTGGAGACAGGGAAGAAATGACACACGTTCAGCCCCACTGCACGTCATTGGACAAAGAGTGAGATTGTGAAAGGAATTCAGTGTATTGCTGGGGACTGTCCCCAGGCTGGAGAGTGTCCCTGTGAATTCACTGGGCTCTGCTCTTTTCTCTTGGTTGTAACTCATATTTTCAGCCAGGAGAGGGAGTCAAAGACAGTTAGACAAAGACTGGGGAACAGAGGAGCTCTCAATGCAATTCATGGCCTTTCTCTAGCGTCTGAGACTCAGCTCTGCTCTGTTTCTGTTCCAAGGTTTCATCCTTCCAAAGCTGAGTACTGCAGTGACACAGTGACTGGCAAATTTATGCAACCAGAAGTGATATGTAAACATGGCAGCAACTTTAATGCGTCATAGGTGTTCACCTGCGGAGAGATGATTCAGAGAAGTGGAATATATAGATTTATCCCCATGTTAATGTTCCAGTCCAGCGCTGCTCTGGGTCTAGCCAGCTCAGAGCTGGGTGCAGCCAGGCGAGCAGGTGCACTAAGCTGAGACTCCAGCTTGGTTCTGTGCAAATTAGACCACTTTGTGACTCTACTCCATGCCCTTTTCAGTAGATCATATGACAACTGAGGTTGGAAGAGACTTCAGGAGGACACAGACCATACATTGCTCCTGTTTCCATTCTTCCAGCTCCTAGGCACAGAAACCTGAGGCACAAGCATGAGGAAAGCAGCAAGCTCACACCTGGGCCTGGTGACCCAAGGTAGAGGCAGGAGCTTAAACCTGGCAGTTGCAGAAGTGTTTAAGAGGGAGCTCTTTCTGGGAAGGAGCAGTCTGATTCCTCTGGAGGGAGGGAAAGGGGGAGAAGGGGAGAAGGGGAGAGAAGGTGTGTGTTCAGGAGGTAGGTCTGTGGCCTCACGGCTGAAGGGATGAAGGAGATTCCCTGGTGCATCTGGTCCCAGCTGATTACTGAAATTAGTAGGGGACAGGGCTGACCTGAGAAAAGGCTTAAAACACCAAACAATGTTGAAGTTGCAAACAGGAATGTATGTTACAAGGTGCAAAACCTGGTTGGAAGTTGCCTCCCAAACAAAGGAGGAAAAATTAGCAGGGAGACAATACCAGACCTAGCTGGCTAACAGCTACTGTAACAGTGTGTCGGGGTTAAGCAGGGATATTTGAAAGGACTGATTTGTGAAGAAAGCTCTGTTTTAGGGGGACAACTTGGGCAGGAAATAAGTGCAAATCTTTAGCGATCAATTTGAGATAGTTGTGGAAAAGGCTATTAGAACAAGAGCAAAAAGAGCCTGAGGCAGGTAAAAGAGTATGAAGAGCAGAAGTGAGAAAACTGCATAGTGAGGAAGGACTAGAGATGAAATATAATCTGGGGATGGCCCCCACATTAAGTAGCTGTCTTGCCTCAGTTTTCCTTAGGTGGAGAACGCTGAACTGGAGGACAATGGTGGGTGGTGAATGGAAGTGAAGGATTCAAGCATCCATCCAAGTTAAAGGGGGAGTTTTGAAGGTGCTGCACATGAATGTGTTTGAAGGTGTTCACAGGAATGGTAGCCAGAGTTTCTATTAATTTCCACTAATTGGTTCTGGTGTCCTGTGACTAGGGACCAGTAAAGGCAGAGCCTAGCTATAAGGAAGCAGAAACATAAAAAAAAAAAAAAAAGGAAAATAAACATCCAGGTGCTGATAGTCCTCTCTTAGCTAGAGAGTTTTGTCCTTACCCACCGTTGCAGGAGGGGAGGAACAGATGCACCATGCATGTGCAAACCTCCCCAGCTGAGAGGAGAGCGATCATGCCTACTCTGCCACTTCACTGGCTCCCAAATCTGCAGAGTTTTGCAGGAGTTTCAGTAGAGGGTTGTGTTGCCTGACCTTGGAGGCCGCACCTGGAGCCTCTGGGGGAATCCAGCCCTTCTCATGTTCCTCTCCCCTATCACATGCGATGCATGCTATTCTCAGCTCTGCTGCTCCTGGTTGCTCCCGCGCCCTGCCGTTGTGTTATAAATGAATGGCTGTTGGTGTTGGTTGATATTTAATGAAGGCCATGTAATACTCTTCATTCATTTACTTATCCAAACAGTCTTAATACCCAGCCTGGGAAAGTTATCTTGGCTTCTTTAAGATTTTCCACCATTAGCAATAAACATTTTACAGTCTTGGCAAGTTGGGTTATTTGTCTGAGGCCGAAAAGAAAGCTTGACTTCA